CTGCACCTGTATGTGTGTGTGTGTGTGTGATATATACACACACACACACACACCCCCTCATTCCCTACAGATTTCAGACACACAATTTTTTTTTCTATCATTGCAACACATTTGTTTAAACAACTTCAACGTAGCAGGGCGGGTGATGAAATTTTTGGGTGTAAAAAGTACAAAAATAATAAAGCGCTGTAAAACTTAAAACACAAATTCAATTTTCTCCAAATTTCAGTTGGGTTGATGTTCCCCCAGACTTCTCTAAAGTACCCCAAGGGTACTTGTACCACTGGTTGAGAAACACTGGGTTAACCCTTTACATCCCTAGTTCATGTCTGCCTCTGAGCTGACCCTTTTCTTGCTACTTCTGTTTTTCACACCATTTAGAGCAAACCCCACGTTAAAGCTTCGGTACTGAAGAGTTTCAAGGCACATCAAGAAGCAAGTGATCACACACCAGGGCACTAGACTGGCACAGAGTTGCTTTGCAGAAGACCACGGCATGTATATCCTGCTCCTGCAATGTTATGTAAGCACTAGGAACGTGGGGGGCAGGGGAGGCCTTTATCTGAAAGCATTTACCAGTGGCCATCATCTGAGACAAGCTGGACTACCTAGCAACTCTCATGTCTCCAAGGGCAACACTTCCACACCTTTCATCCTGAATACGACAGATCAGTCATATTTTGCCCCCTCAGAGAAGTCTAATCTATGCCCATGCTTAATGCCTAACAGTTAATTGCATCTAGGAGTAGAGCAATGCACAGAGACCTTTGTGTGGCCATTTGTGTCTCTTGTTCACCCTTTTCAGCAGTGTAACATTCAGAACTACAACTAGCCTATATGATTCCTCTCAGGATCAGAGCCAGTTTGCACATACCGTTCGAGTGGAAGCCCAAACTTCTTATAAGCCTTGATAAACCTAAGCAACAAAGAAAAAAAACAACAACAAGATCAATATAAAGGTTCCTAACTTGTAGAGTATTTGCAAACATTTAGTTAGTTCAGCCCTTTTGTCATTTCATGTCCAAGGCCTAAGGAGCTCCCCAGGCCATTGTGAAACTTAATTCAGCCGTGTTTGCAAAGAGCTTTGAAGTCCTTAGCTAGAAGGAACTGGAGAAGGACAGAGGCTTGCTCTCAACACTAATTTTACTAAAAAGCTTGGTTTAAAAATCAGCAACTCAAAGATGAAAGAAAGTTGGTTAAAGCTCAAGAAATCCCCTTGACCATCTCTGGCCAAACCGCTGGATCTCTGGGAAGATGCAGGCACTCTGGGAAGACTCAAGAGGTTAGAGAAAGTTCTATCTTGGAGAGGGGCAAGGACACAGCTAGAAAGGTAATGCTAGGGAAGGAAGAAGGACCCCAACATGGATCACCTGCAACAACCCTTTGGGGGCTACTATTTTGGCCCAAATACAGCAGCATTTACATTTTGTTCAAATTAAAACTGCCAGGAAACTTTTCTTCTTGAAGGTGAATGTGGGGCTCCTGAACAAAGCCAGAGGAACAGAATAAAGACAGGAACTCTAGGTTTCTCCGTGGAATGGCTACCAGCAATTCTAGCTTACAGAGTCGGCTGCCCCCTCCCACTCCCTTGCTGCGGGCTCTGCAGTTTTTCTTGGAGCCAGCAAGCTCCATCCGAGCAGCTGGCCCTGCTCGTGAGGAGCCAGCTGCCCCCACTGCAGGCGCTGCAGTTTAGGAGCTGGCAGGCTCCATCCCAACATGAGCTGGGTCCTGGAAGTTGCCCCCGTGTGCATACGGCTCTGCCAGCCACACTCTTGGGACGCTAGCTGCTCCATGCTGTGGCTCTGCAGCCGGTGGGCTTCCAGCGAGGGCTGCTGGCCCTCTCTCAGGGTCCCAGGGTGCCCAGTATTTCCTCTGTTTTTTTCATCCATGGGCAGATTTAAATTTGGTATGTAATATACGTGCATCAATATTGAGATAAAGTGAGGATACGCTCCACCAGCACAAACAGAAAACCTAAATATATCATTTTTTAAAAGTGCCATAGATATGGAAGAAGACTGTTAAAACAAGGCATAATCTACAAGGCCACTGCTTAAGATATTTAATATGAAATCAAATTAAAATAATTAACACTGTCCTTTCTCATCCTAACAACTCAGGCTGGCAAACACACCAAAATGTGGTATACACAAAACATCTATATAAAAAAAGAAATGGGCATTAAGAGAAAGCAGAAAAATGTGCACCAAAGGCCCAATCTATTATATATTTTGAAGAGTCTGTTTGTGGATTTATTTGTGTAAAATAAAGTCATACTTCCCAATTAGATATAGATACCCAAATTTTGCATAAGCAAACCTGCCACTTAAATTAGCTGAATGAACTACTTCTTACACCGGATTATGCTGGGTGAAAGGTTTAAATAATTATTTTTGTTTTTCATCAGAAAAATGTCATGACTATTATGATTAGCGTTCATAAAAAATATTTGCTAACAAAATTAAAACTGAGTCGCCTATTCAACTCGGTGCAAAGAAAATTTTAGTGTTACAAATCACAAAATAATTCAAATTAGTTACCGAAAGAGTAATGGAAACTTCACGAGTTTCTGATTAAAATTTACTATGTGTGGTAATTCAATAAAATGAGTAAGGTTTGAAGTTGAAATCCTACAAATTTTAAACTGTTCTTTTACTTCTCCTTTGCAAACACATTAAGAAAAAATTCTTATATATTTAACTTCTTAAACTTCCCTGTAAGTGTGATCTATGCAAAAGGACTTTGCCCAGTCAACATCGGGCCTCACCTGCGAGCTTAATAATAACCTTAAGACCACTTAAATCTTAAGGAAAAATTTCTTACAAAATGAAGCATCTGCCACAACAGTACTATGCTATGGATTATGTGGTTCACAAAACCACGCATATCATCTGAACATAGCTCAGTTTTAAGATGCTGAAAAACACACCTGTGAGTCAACTATAAATATCATGCCCTCATCGCAAATATGAATACAATATTTTCTGGTACTGAAAGGAATGTAAAAGGCACTCATTCAGGCTTATACAATTTAAAAGGGATATCAACTCAATTAATACTTCACGCACAGAAAACAGTAAAAATAAATAATTAAGCAAGCAACACAGAAAGCAAACAAGTGACACCACTAAAAACACAAGGGGAAATAGAACAACTGGTTGGTTATGTGTATTTGAAATAAGTGTGTAGGACCTACACACACTGTGCAAATGCTGTAGAGCCCTGTAGAAAAAGGCAAAGTTTTCCTGGTTTCACACAGTGTTTCACCAATTTAAAAAAAATCAAAGTTGCCTTGTTATGTTTTAAACCCCCCACGCCCCAAGGAAACAGAGCGCTTGAACAATGGGAAAAAGGCAAAGTTTTCCTGGTTTCACAGTGTTTCACCAATTTAAAAAAATCAAAGTAGCCTTGTTATGTTTTAAACCCCCCACACCTCAAGGAAACAGAGCGCTTGAACAACGGCTTGGGAGTTTGCATCCCTGCTTCAAAGAGCTTGCAAGTAAGTTCTCATCCTGCAAGCATAAGACTAAACCTAATGTTGAACTCATCTGATGAAGTGGGCTTTACCCAAGAAAGCTCTCGTTAGTCTTGTTAGTCTTTAAGGTGCCACAGGACTATTTGTTATTAAACCTAGTGTTTGATACTCTGAAGAATCAGAACTACACTACAGAACAAAGACCTGGTGTCTTAATGGTTTTCAATTCCGTTCCCCAAACAAATTGTAAAAACCGTATGGAAATCACTTGACTGGAACCCAAGTGGTTTTCACTGAGTTTTAGAAATTGTTGGGAAAGAGGCATCTCTCTTGGTCAGAGCCACTGCAAACCCTGGGCTAGGGCTCAGAGTCAAACATGACAGGTTAAAAATATTAGACTTTGGATTTCTTTGGAAAAACAAACCATGGTTACTGGAGTTCTCCTCCCAGCCCCACCAGCTCAGCTGAGGCTCAAAGGGAATCTTGCCCCCCTCTGCTTGCCACCAGAGCAGCTGGAGATCAGACTTCCAGTCTCTCCCAGCCCCAGTGGGCTGAAATGGAGATGGACTGTCCTCTACCTGCTGCCTCAGAACAGCTGCAGCTCACACTTCCAGTCTCTCCCAGTCCCAAGGCAGCCCAGCTGGGGCTGCATGGAGTGGAATGCTCCTTTGCCTGCCTCTGCAGAGGGAACTTTTCCTGGCTGTTGCAGGCAGTCTGGCTGGGAGTGGGACACCCCAACCTTAGTCTCACTCCCCAGCCCCACGTGACCCACTGGATCCTCGCCCACCTCTGTATTCTGTGAGAGCTACCCTCTCCCCACAGCACACCTTCCATGTCTTCTTCAGGGGCCTCAGCGGCACCTAATCAGTGGATCCACAGCCATGCCTGCCTCTAATTAGAATGATGGCCCTTCGTTTTCTCCTGCACGGGCACGCAGGTGTGCACTCTTCAGGGAACTATGGTCCCAGCTGCCAGCCCCACATCTGGGGCTTTGCCGCTGCCCTGCATCTGTTCCCAGTGTCCCTGGCATTTCGTCTGTACCCTGCACCCAGGGTCCCCACTACAGATGTTCCAGTGCCAATGACTCACAATGAATCAGACAGCCACAACTATGGGTTATCTTTGTCAAGAGCCTTTATTTACAACAAAAACTGCCCAGTCTTCTGTGTAAAAATTAAACTAATCGTTTAAACTTTGCATAGCATCCCTGAGCTGTCCAAACCCAACACTTTGTGCGTAGTATCCCTGAGTTGTCCAAACCCAACACTTTGTGCGTAGTATCCCTGAGCTGTCCAAACCCCAAACCATCAGATTACACTTTCCATTCTACTGCTTATTTTTGTTAAGAAAAATTAACATGTCGACATGCTCTGGTGTCAGTCTCGAGCGCAGCCGATTTATAGTCAGGCCAGCGCTAGAAAACACTCGCTCTGCAGGCACAGAGGTTCCTGGAATGCACAAGTAACAGTTTGCCAGTTTTCCAAGCCTTGGAAAACGCTGGGCATTGGCCTTCCACCACTCCAGTGGACTGCATTCCAATGAAGGGCAAGGCTCCCTGAGGTAATCTTCCAGTTCTTTTTCCACAGAGTTCTCCTCATTCTCCTTTTCGGTGTAACCTTCACCTAGAAGCATCACTATGGCGCTCGTCTTTTTCTTCAGCGCTGGCTCTCTCGGCTCATCTGGCGCCGCACCTCTTAGTTCAGCCCCAGCAGTTGGACGTTCTTCTACTTCTAATCCTGACGCAAGTTCTAGAAGCTTTGCCTTGGCGGCAATCTGGACAACCGGTGAAAGAAACCGCAGGTGTTTATGGCGTGGATCTAATAAGGAGGCAATCAGTGCCGGTTTGGCAGTTACGTCAGGAACGCCGGGGGTCATGTGATGCTGCAGAGAGGAGCTAACAGCACCTTTGAAGGCGGCGACCGTTGCATTTTCAGCAGAAGCTTTGCTTTTGAGGTGAGTTTGGAGAAGACTGTTGCAAATTGGGTAAATGTTTGAAATTGACGCTGACTGTTCAGCAGACATGGCAGTCGTAGCGCAATTCAAAGCGGAAAGCACCGGTAAGATATCTTCTATGAATTGCCAGTGCTCATCATGCAGCTGAAGCATTCGGATGTCAGATTGTTTTGTTACAGTGCTATCTGAAAGCACAGCTGTTATAGCCCACCTTTGCTCACTGAGTCTTTCGAACATGTCACAGACTGAATTCAGGTGAGTTTTACAGGACTGGATTAGAGGGTGTTGCTGAACACGAAGCTGAGTTTGTTTTCTTTCCAATGCTTTTCTGGCTGCGGGGCTGTGGTGGAAGTGTGCAACTAGTTTACTTGCAGCTGTAACAGCATGATCCACACAACTGACAGAGAATCCATCGTTTATGGCTAGCTGCAAGGTATGGGCAAAACAACTGATGGATTCCCATGCAACATACTTTGGTGTGTTAGCGAGCATAATGTTGTTTGCATTGTCATGTACGCATGCCAGGACACGGCCTGCCAGCCCCCATCTTTCCACCACAGTATTTAATTTTGCAGCAAGGTTCTCTGCAGTTTGTCGTTCTATGAGACTTTCCGTTTGTAGAACTGCTGATCGAAGCTCCCAGTTTTCAATGTAATGGCAAGTGACAGTCATGTAGCTTTCTGTAGTTAATGCCATCCAGCAGTCAGTGGTAAAAGCTACTTTAACAGCTTTGTCCAATTTTTCACGGAGAGACTTCACACCGGCTTCATAGCACTTTTCTAACTGCAAAGTCATCGTCTGTCTCACAGGCACACAGTATTCAGGTTCTACAAAACTCATCAGTGCACGAAAACCTGTCCCCTCAATGACGCTTACAGGTAGCATATCTGTAGTGATCATGGTGCACAACAATTCTGTTAGCTGTTCCTCGCGTTGGGCATTGCATCTTCTCGAACTGTCAGAAGCCACTGCTGCCAGCGGGGTTTGATTTCTGCTTTCTGTTTCACATGAAACAGAGGGATGTTTCAGCTTCAAATGGTTGAGCATGGACCCGGTGCTCTTTGCATACCTCAGCTCTGCAGAACACAGTTTACATTTAACAGCGTCTTCGCTTATTTGTGTGAAATGATTCCAGGCAACACTCTTTTTTGATCGCTCCATCTTAACTATGCAACAGCTGTCACCAAAAATAAAATAAAAAAAAAAACTTCAATGCTGTTTGAACTGTGAAGAACGCTGGCAAAGTGTCACACACAGGTGGGATACAGACAGTATTATTGCTGTATTTTGCCCAGGAAAACAAGGATAGGTGGTAGCTGCTTGAAGCTGGCGACCAAAGCGGTGAGAGCGGGAGGAAGACTTTGGGGGGACGGGAAACAAAGACACGTGGTGTGAGGGAACTGGCAGGATACTTGCAAAGTGTGAGGGAGGAAGGGAGGAACACATCGCAGGGAAGAACAAAGACATCGGGTAGGAGGGACCTTGAAGGATGCTACCAAAATGCAAGGGAGGAGGGATCTTTTGCACAGGACGATTAGGGAAGTGCTGACAGCAAAGCCCCTGTTGGAAATTGATGGCGGCAGGGAACAACAGAGCCTCACGTCCCACCAGCAGCCAGCACACTGGGCAAGCCAGGAGGCTAACTGCAGGAAAGCCAAGGTGGGTGACTGACAGCAGAGACCTGCGGTGGGCTGGGATGCTACGGGTGGCAGAAACCACAGCATCAGCTGGACCCACGGAGAGCAGCTGGCAGCAGGGAGCCGGGACATGCAGGGAGCTTGCTGGCTCCTAATGCAGAGCCCACAGTGAGAGCTGCTGGCTCCCTGGAAACCAAGTCAGCTGCTGGGACCCAGCCTGTGCTGGGACGGAGCCCAGTGGCTCCAAGTTTAATAGCAGAGCCTGCAGCAGGGATAGCTGGTTCCCCAAGAGCAGGGGCAGCTGCCGGGATCCGGCGCGTGCCAGGACACAGCCTGCCAGATCCTACTGCAGAGCCCACAGTGGGCTGCACATCCCCAGGCAAAACAAACAGTAAACCATGCAACCAATAGGATATTTAATGGTTACATGGTTACTGTTTTAAACAACCTTTTACATCCCTACCTGAGATGCTGATGGAGGCTGACAATGTCAGGAGTGGATTCTGTGAAACACACACACGTGTCTCACGAGAGTCAAACTAAAGACCATCAGCTCATTCCACGCAGACCTACAAAAGGCCATCAGCAGGTGGCAAAGTTAGCACTATAAAAAGTTCAGAAGAATGGCTGGGGCCATATTTCCTCCCTAATTCTTTGGTGACAATACTAAGTTAAATAAACCACCCTGTCCCTGTCATTTACAATGGATGAATTGCCCATTACGCAACAGGACGAGCACGGAAGAACCCCAAGAAATGGAGGGTTTGGGAAGCCAAGTGCCCCAGTCCAGCAGAGCACTTCTGCACTTGGCTTTACTTTAATCACATAAACAGTCTATCTGGCCCGACTTCCCTGGCACCAGCAGCAGCGATGCAGGTGCTTTGCTGGAGCAGGGCCCTACCCTGGTGGTATCAGTATCCACACAGAATTTCCAAACGTGCTCATCTAACAGTCTACTGGGCACAGCACTGACCTCCTGATTTCAGCATCAGTGAATCCTTCCACCGTGTCTTTCCTGACGCTCCGTGGACGCCCCCTGCGCTTCGGCCTTTTATCGTCGTCAGTATCGTCCGTCTCGCTCTCCGACCCAGACGACCTCTGGATCCTTCTCTTTGATTCTGCATCCGAATCGCTGTCATTTGCCTGAGCCTGGAAGAGCCAGAAGGGAAGCACTCCGGTAATGAGGGCTAATTGGCAGCCTCTTTCGACCCTTCCCTAGCGCCGTGGATTGGCAATGCAAACACGGAACCCCTTGGTGCATATTCTGACCTAAGGCCAACTGGATCAACACGGGCACTGTCCCGTCGTAGAGGAACTGCCCTTCCCTCCCTCCTTGAAGTGTCTGGATGCCCAAGGCTCCCGTGTATTTGCTCATCCCCTTTTGACAGATTTCCAGATAACGCCCCCAAGCACTTCATTTGGAGCATACTGGTTCCTTATCCTAATGGTATTTTCTTGTATATCCAGGCCAAGGGGGAGGGCAAAATGAGTAGCTGCCCTGGGGCCCACAGCGGTGGTTGGAGCCCTGGGCCCTTTAAATTGCCATGGTAACACCGCTCTTAGGACTGGAGGGGGGCCAGTGCTGGGCTCAGGGCTGGCTGCCCCTGCCCCTTCTGCCCAGGGTCCTGCTGGCTGCCCCTCACCCGCCCCCCACACACACATCGCCCCTCCATGGGGTCCCTGTGCACAACCCTGTTCCTAGAGGATTTGAATGCACCATAGCACCTAGACACTGTCTCTGCTGGTTCCAGAAGGACAGGCAGAGTTTACCCACTAACAGCCTGCTCAGGTGTGAAGCTGAGTGAAGAGACAAGAAACATCCAAGGAAACGCCCTACGATGCAATCAAGAATTAATTCCCATCTAACCCCTCACCACGCAGTTGGTTATTTTCCCTTGCGCTGCAATCTGTTACTGCCACTGGGTTCCAGCTCTTTTCAATGTACTGTTTTTAAATAAGGCCTAAGAAGAATTGGAAACATCACTACTCAATTCATCATGGACCCATATACCCTGTACCCCGCATGGCAGACCTGTGGCCTATTCTGTGCATTGTTCCAAACCAGCATGAGGCGAGGGTGCGAATCAAACTTGCACAGAACAGTTCCTGGGCAAAGAGCATCTTTCCCCACACCTGTGACGTGCTCTCCCCACTTCCTGAGGCAGTGCCGTACCTTTTTCGTGGAGCTGCGGATCCTGGGCAGCATATAGATTTCCTCCAATTCCTTCTGTCGTTCCTCTTCCTCCACTTTCTTTCTTTGCTCTTCTGGAATAATATCATCCCAGTCCCTCTGAGACCTCTCTTCCAGCTCAGTCTCTTCTTCCTCCATGGTTGCAAAATTGGCCACCTTACAAGGAAAAGTAGGATTAGAAGCTCCCAGAGGCAACATTAGCAGAGATAGGCTGGTCCAGTCTCAGCTTTTCTCTGGAGGTCTTTTCCCATGTAATCGGTTGTTCTGTTCTTGTTGTCTGTCATCTCTTCCAGCAACAATCAATCACTGAACAGTGCATGCAATTTATAAGCTTGGGCTGGAGCCTTTGCTAGATTAACCTTGCAGTTTCTAAAGTTAGGAAGTTTAACATTTTCTTGTCCATCACCCAGATCATTTAAAAGCCACAACACATTTCTTTAGTGGGCCTCACCCACCAAACCTATCAGCTGGGCAAGGACCACCTGCTTCTGTGCACCGTGCAAAGGCTTTGGCTAGAATCTATCCACGGGAAGCCAACATGGCAGGTGCGTGGCTGGCCAGTTCTGTCCCTTCTCCTGTCACTGAAGTTATAATCAAAGGTGACCCTGGCAAAGACCATTCATCACTCACCTACTCTGCTAGGATTCAGTCCTTTTACTCACTTGTCCCTAGGGACTCTATCTGCTTTGTACCTTGAATTGCGACAGCAGCTCATCTGTAGCGCTCGAGGACACTTCGTTCTCCCGGGTTTCAGCCAGGCGTAAAATCTCATCGATATCCATTTCCTGCCAGTCAGGAAGAGTGGATGATAAAATCAGAGGAAACACAGCAACAGCAAGGAAAGGGGGGTGGGTTACGGGACTGACTTGTGAGGTGCGACTGCTAAACGCGAACTGCTGGAATAACTGAAGAAGGGAAGGTGGGGAAGACAAGATCTGCAACTGAGAGTGTGTCACCACCCAGGAGGGGGACAGACTCTTTAGATGGTTCAAGAAGGTACGAAGAGGAAAGTCGGGCAAAACAACAGCCTGAATAGCTGGAACCAGCTGCTGTGTGCGATCTTCTCATCTGTGGAATGGTTCCCTACAGGGACCTGCCTGAGTTCCACTGCGTGGCCCATGAACAGGGCTGTTCAAAGCACTCGGTAACACAGTGCCAGAAACGACCTTGCACTGGGATGAGCAGAGGGGACCCTCTCTGACTCCTGTACTTCTGTGGAAACTACAGAGGGAAGCTGAAAAGGGACTCGGAGGAGCGGGGATGAAGTGGACTTATTCACAGAGCTCAGTCCCTGCTCATGGCGGGTCCGGGACCAAACCCCGCTGTGGCTCTGCAATTTAAAATGCAAAGCCGAGTGGAGGGGGCTGGCTACCTGGCTCCTACTGACTTTTAAATTGCAGAACCACAATGGGGCTTGGTCCTGGCATGAGCCAAGAATGAGCCAGGCTGCCTGCCCAGCCGGTAGCAGCCCCTGTCCGGGCGGGAGGGGGGATCCAAGTGGGAAGTTGGGAGCCCCTTGCAGGAAGGGAGCAGCCTCCCCTGTTCCCCACCCAGGGCTGCTGCCTCTAATAGAGGCAACACGGAGCCAGTGCTGGGAGGAACAGGCTTATAAGCTGGCTCTGCCCAGCATCAGCTCCTGCCCGCCCCAATGCCTCTGCTACAGAAGCAGCAAGGAGTGGATGCAAGTAGTCGACTACTCCCTTACATCCCTAGAAGTGACAGTCAGGAAGACCATCAGGGCGCAGTGAGGTCACTTTAACTACCTGAGGTTCAGCTTCTTCCCCTTCAATCTCCTTGAACAGATCCTCAGCGCCAAACTTCAGAATTGCTGTCAGCTCCTCTTTGTTGAAAGGATTTGAGCTGCAAACAGGAACAAAGATGCAGTTAACTTGCAGGAGTTTTACAGCAGCTCTGCTATAGTATAAACTTAAGACATAGATAAGCCTCCCTCATTAGGTCAATGTCATGGGGCAAGTTCTCAACCCCTCACTAAAAGACCTTGTGCTCGGTTCTTGATCTGTCGCCCAGCTCTGTTTCAATGCCGAGTCAGATGGCCAATTAAAAGCAGCAGTATAGATGGGCTCCCGGGAAGGGACTCCCATGTCTTAGAAGGGTGAGAGAGCAACCAGTCTGCAGAACCCAGCAGACTCCTTCTATTCTAATCTTCCTAAAACTTGAGGTGAAATTACCCTTCCTTCTTCACCCACCCAGCTATTTCATCTTTCACCTGCTGCATCAGGAGTTGCAGAAGCTGACCAGGGCCAAGTGGTCCATATGGTCATTTTCTCCCTACAGCACCAGCTGCTGAGTGGAAGAGACCACAGATCACAACACGGTGAAGGAGTTGAAGAGCCAGGAAAAGTCTCCCATGGATCCTAGATAATTAGTTACACCTATAGGCTGTGTCTACACTGGGCCACTTATTCCGGAAAAGCAGCCGCTGTCTACACTGGCCGCTTGCTTTTCTGGAAAAGCAATGACGATCTACTGTAAAATTGTCAGTGTTTTTCCGGAAAAACTATGCTGTTCCCATTCGGGCAAAAGTCCTTTTCCGGAAAAACTGTTCCGGAAAAGGGCCAGTGTAGACAGCACAGTAGTCTTTTCCGCAAAAAAGCCCCGATCGCGAAAATGACGATCGGGGCTTTTTTCCGGAAAAGCGCGTCTATATTGGCCACGGACACTTTTCCGGAAAAAGTGCTTTTCCAGAAAAGCATCCTGCCAATGTAGATGTGCTTTTTCCGGAAATACTTAGAACGGAAAACTGTTCCGTTTTAAGCATTTCCGGAAAAGGGTGCCAGTGTACACGTAGCCATAGAGTCTGCATGGAAAAAGAGACCAACTGTGTAGCACTCTTATAAACCTACTGTCAATTTCTTCAGATAACAGTGATCTTGGGGAGCCCCATAAGAAAAAAGCTGAAATCCCCATGACCGTGGCATGGTTTATTGCATATTCTCCATCTGATGCTCTCCTCCCCACGTAAGCCCTTACTTGGATCTCCCAGAGTTGTTATCCAGCACAGTACGGCCTGTGGTGTCCATACGCTGGATCACCAGATGATCCAACACCATCTTTTTCTTGGCCCTCTCAATGATCTCTTCTTCCACTGTCCCCTTTGTGACTAAGCGATAAATGTTCACCTATGGGGGTGGGAAAAAAAGCAGAGCTATTTTGTGGATCTGCAACACACAGTCCTGCCTAAATTACAATGCAGCCAGCACTACTTAGCAGACTGTAGCAATAAGCTGTCTACATACTCCCTTCTTGCACAGATGTATCCTGCATAGTATATCTGAACCCCTAATCCAAAACACAATGCCCCATGGCAATTATCAAGAAAACTATTCGCAAGAAAGGCTGTTCTTGCCAGTTCTCCAGCCTGCTTTCTAGATCAGAGACTCCAGAATACCTCCCCAAAATATTGTTTGTAGATTTCAAGGCTAGAAATTACTTTTATGATCATCTAAGTCTCACTATCTGCATAATACAAGCCAGAGAACTTCAGCCAGTAATTTCTGCATCAAGCCTGTAACTAGAGTCTGAGGATACTTCTACAGTGCACGGCTATTTCAGGATACTGGAGGTATCCCAAAATAGCTACCCCATGTCTACACAATATTTCAAAATAGTATTTGAAATAACGAGTGCACTATTTTGCCACCCCGGTAAACCTTGTTGCAAGAGGGATAAGGAATAGCTCAAAATAGCGTGTTATTTCAAAATTTGGTACTTTGTAGACACACCAAATTTCAAAATAACATTATGAAATAGATTCAAAATAAGATACGCAATTAGCGTAGTGCAAACTGCATATCTTATTTCAAGTTCAGGGTGCTATGTAGACACACCCTGACGGAGAGGGTGTGTGGGTGTTGCGTGTATGTAAACAAAGAAACACAACAGACCTGCAAAAAAACTACAGCTGAAACATATGTCTGCTCTAAGCCCCATACTGGCTCTGCAGGCTTCTACTCAAAAATGACTGATAACTTTTAGGCCTCCCAGCCTTGACAGTGTCCCCTGCCTGAAGCCAATGCCTGATGCCAGAGGTGTGGGCAATTTTAGGCTATGTCTAGACTACATGTCTCACATAGGAAAATGAAGCAGTGATTTAAATAATCGCCACTTCATTTACATCAAGATGGCTGCTGCGCTGTGCCGACGATCAGCTGATCGGCAAAGCGCGGTAGTCTAGAGGCTCCGTGGTCTACAAGGGAAGCCTTTGTCGACCGCTCTGGTAAACCTCGTTTCACGAGGCATACCGGAGAGGTCGACAAAGGCTTCCCTTGTCGACCGCGGTGCGTCTAGACTGCTCCGCTGTGCCGGATCAGCTGATCATCGGCACAGCGTGGCGGCCATGTTTATTTTAATGAAGCAGAGATTATCTAAATCCCAGCTTCTTTGCCTATGCCAAATAAACTATTTTACATGGCTCCGTCGACGGAGCCATGAAGTCTAGACATAGCCTTAGTGATGAAACTAAGAACCATGTGAAATTTGCTTGGTTTCATGATCGACTTAATACTCAGTACAGATTCATGAGTATTGAGAGAATCCAGGTATGGTTTTCAGCAAACTTGGGCTGATTTGATTTTGCTTCTCAGATTTCCTGCTTACCCTGCATTTCTGGGGAACCTGAAGGATTATGCAGCTCAGCATGAAGGAACCCATTTGCAGAGCCCCCATAAGCCAAACACGGCCCAGCTCTGCAGCAACCTGACACACATGCATGAGCTACAGTGTAGGACCGGACTGTATCATAGCACAACGGATCCATGGCTGCTCTCCTGACCTGCTTCTTCTGTCCAATTCTGTGAGCCCGAGCCTGAGCCTGCAAGTCATTCTGGGGGTTCCAGTCCGAGTCAAAGATAACCACCGTGTCTGCAGAAGCCAGGTTAATCCCCAGTCCGCCAGCTCGTGTCGACAACAGGAAACAGAAGTCCTACGTACAATGACAAGACACCGGTGTACAGCTCACAAAAGCGATCTCAGGTGCTTAAAAACATGTTGTGCAACAACCAGTGAATTAATACAGATTACAATATGCCCTACAGAGCCATGTGTTTTTGTGGCCAGGTCAAGGGAGAGGAAGGTGTAATCGAATGCGAAGGGAGAATGGAGAGTGTCTGGGAGTGGGGGTTTATTAGGGACAGAGGTTAGGAGTCATCACAGGGCCGTGAAAAGAGACAGAGTATGAAGCCAGTCTGAGACAAAGAGGTGCTCAGAGCAGGGGCAGCATGTGAGAAAGATCTTCCTCTTCTATGGAGAGTGGGAAAAGGAAAAAGACAGAGAACTCTGGTATTTGAGCAGCATAGCACGAGCAGTGGCACGACGTGCAGCAGGAAGAAGGATTCCCCACCCTATCCATTTAAGCAGTCCTAGTATGAGTGGTGTTGGGAGATGCTGATGGGTATAGGAGTCGACGGGCACGGGTGCATGGCAGCCATTAGCACCCCCAGGACTAAACCAGATAAGGATAGCAAAGGAAGGTGTAGCTGACAGATGGCAGCATGTGTCCCCGGGAGTTACAGTCAGTGACAGAGAGGTCAGGACGCTGAAGGGGTGGGCCCAGTAGGTGTCGCTGTGGGCAGCAGAATACAAACAGCTTGGAAGAAAGGGCACCTCTGGCTTGTTGCTTCTGAAGGTCAAATGAAGGTGTGTATGGGGTTGCCCATGAGCAGCAGGCAAAGGCGAGTGCATTGCACTGTACTTGCACTCGTACTCCTGCAGGACGGACGGCCTCACACAAAATTAAGCCTAGCATGGACTTTGCAAGTCACTGCCTGGGAAGGGCAGGACCAAAGCCAGGCTGATGAAATTGGGCAGCCCTGGAGTTCACACCTCCCTGCGAACCCCCTTCCTCCCTTCAGTGCCAGCTCCTTTGCTCTCCTATCTGCACCAGGCCTTGTCTCCTTTGGTTCTTTACCATCTGTGGGCTCTGGCTTTCCAGGCAAAGTCATGTCTTTCAGACCGCTGGCTGGCCTGAGGCACATGCATGTGGTCAGAGCAAGCCAGTGAGCCCTCTGGACTCTGCGCCTTCACAGCTGCCACCAGACACCCCTGCCTGCCAGGCACACTCTTCTTTCCTCTGACACTTCCAATGTAGGAACCACCTCACGGCTCCAGCCTGTGCAAGTTATCAAATGAGCGCTTCAGTACTGCCAGGTCCAAGAAGGGGAACGTCTAATGGGGATTAATCCTTCACAGAGTCGGATTTTCAGGTCCCACCCTTTGTGAGGCATCGGGGCATTTAACGAGCAACACCAACAGCCCCAAGATACATAACATGCCACTGGCCACGTCTTCAGACACAGCCTGGGCGCTGTAACAAGCCACTCCCTGAGCACAAATAGCAGTGCAGCCGAGTGGTGAGCTCGCACACGCTTGAACGTCCCATCCCCTTCCCTTCTGAAGCAGCTTTCCCTCAGGCAGGGAACCCCCAGCTGTCGTACCTCAGAGCCATCAGCGTTGAAGTGATCCAGTGCTTGCTTTCGGATCTCCCCTTTGATCGAGCCGTCCAAGCGCTGGAAAGATCAACAATAATGATAAAAGAAAGAAAGAAAGTAAAGGAACCCTGAGGAACTGCTGTCCCAATGCTCTGGGAGCTCCACCATCTCCTGTCCTACATCCCTTCAGCTTGGAGCATTTAATCATTAAAAATAACTGATTAAAAATAACTGCACTGCTTGAACCGGCTGTGCCGAGGGGGAGGGAGGCGGGGAGCGTGCTTAGGCAGCAGTCACACGGTGGGTGACACTTCAGCTCCCATTACAGGCTCCCCGCCAGGATCTCTGCATTTACAGACCTCTCTGGAGCTTATCAAAGGCTGATGCTGATGCCTGGAGGAGGAAGGGATGTTTTGCAAAGACTGGGCTTTTATTTCTTGTGCTTTTGCATGTTTAAAGCACGCTCCTAGCAGCCCGGGCCAGGCGCACGTGTAATTCTATAAAAGCAAGGTGCGAGTTGCCTAGTGAGCCAGCATCCACCGCAGAGAAATACAGGGCAGCCAGTTTATGCCCCACCCCACAGGCACAACACACAGGCTTTTCAGCCTATCCTGATGAGCTCTGTCACTCCAGCAAGGAAATGCTGAGAGCTCTCTGCTATCAGACTCAGGGCTGGTTCACACCTCGGGACTTTTAGCAAACGTGCATCTGCTCAGAAGACAGTGCCAGGAGCAAGGGCCATCTCTCTGGTAGCCAGAACGCAAACAGCACAGAGCTTTAATGATCAGTCCTCAGACACTGAGTTCTCCCCTTCCTTAGAGGCTCACATCACAAAAGCGCCCCCCGCCCTTGGCTTTATCAGCACTTAAAGGAGCAGGAATTCAATGGAGATTCCCAGTTCACACGGATGCACTTTGCTCTAGAGCAGGCATGTCCAAAGTCCGGCCCGCGGGCCAATTGCGGCCTGTGTTCCGGTTTAATACGGCCCCCCGGGTAATTTGGCAATATCTATCTTTTATGGCCCCCAACGAATCCATATGTATTGAGATGAATACATTGTAAAATCTCAGTTAAAGTCAGTTGGTCTAAATCAGTTATAAATATATTTGGACACAACATGTATACTTGGTGTTATGTTCCTGTTCATATTTTTTGAACTTAAAAGTTGACAGACAACCTTTATTACCAATAATATGTAATGTACTTTACAATGTTCCTGACATATATTTCAGCTTCCTGGATTTTTTTTTTCATCTGGCCTTCAGATATGAAAGGCAGAGTGATTTAACACCTGTTTAGATTTGTCATCCATGTGACGAAATGAAAAGTATGCCGTTTGCAATAAACTTTGCATAAAATAGTTAATTTGCATTTAATTTTAATGGTTCAAAGAATGTCAGGCAAAATGGTCGGCCCTCACGCATGTTCACTTCATCAAATCTGGCCCTCTTTGAAAAAAGTTTGGACACCCCTGCTCTAGAGCCTCATGCAGTTGGCACTACCTGGCTCATGGAGGCTGAGCGCTCAGACTGCTTATGTCACCTCAGTGCTCCCCGATTTGAATGCTCAAGCGAGCCCAGAGCGCGCGCTCACCCCTAACCCGCCTCACCTGGAAAGGATAGTGCTTGATAGCCAAGTATTCCGCCAGGATGTCCAGCATTCTCACCATCTGGGAGAAGATCAGGACTCGGTTACCCCTCTCCCGCAGCCTGGTCAGCAGCTTGTCCAAGAGAATTAGCTTTCCACTGCTCCTGATTAGAGACTGAAGAAGTAACAGTCATTCCAACAGATGCTTCCAACCACGCTTCCGTATGCACTGTACAGACCAACATGTCCTTGGTTCTTCAACGCAGTTTTGTCCCAACATTACTCCAGCCCCGTCACAGAGCTTTATACGGAGAAGGCCGCGCGACAGAGACAAAACCATCACAGCCTGACCTTACGCTGTATGTCCATCTTGCCCACATCCAATCTAACCAGACACAAGGTCACCCTTAACTGGGCTGGAGAAGTAGCGGTTTGGCTGTGGGAAGGAGACAGGAGCAAGTCCATGGGACAGAGGCAACAGGAATTCTGCTTGCAAGGTATTATTGTAGCATGGAGACAGCCAGGAGGGAGAAGTACATGGGAATGCAATTACACGCCAAAGAACTACCCACCATCAGCATCTCCGCGCCAGTCTCCCTTTCATTTTCTTCCGGAGGTTTAATGAGATAACAATGGTTGCAGCACTTTTTCAGCTCCATCACAATGTTAAGGAAGCCAGACGTGCTTCCTCTGGTCCCCTTCGAGAGAGCCTTGTAGTTTCTTGTCAAAATCCACCTGCAGGCAGCAGTCAGGGAAACAAAATCCTCAGGTCAGGCCCTGTCATTTCTCTGGGGGACAGCACAGACCGGAGAGACTTGTAGAGACAATTACGCTAGGGAAGCTGTTTCTCCTTCTCCCCACCCATCTCCTTTTCCATCATATGAAACTCTGCTTACTCCTCTCTTGAAATTCCAACCCTCCGCCTTCTGTGACATTATTTACAAGGCAACATATTTATATACGGGCCTCTATGGGAGGAAGATAGGCCTGGTCTCCACCTTGCATGCTGCTACTCCACTTTAAAACCAAACCACCCAGTGTGGAGGGGATTGTAGCATGTCCCCAGAGGCAGGTAAAATGTAGGCAAGAGACTGTAGTACTTTATTCTGCTTCTCACTGGAAAGCCTCCCCTACTGAAGAAGGCTGCCACTCCTGGTGCATCTCATAATGGCGGGGGGATATAGAACTACAGCCACTAGACACACTAACGAAATAACCCACCAGACCTGTTTCTACTGGGCACGTTCAATTGCTCAGTAAATGCCTTACTTATAATACTGCTTCTGCAGGGCAGACATTTCCACCCGGAGAATCTGTTCCACCTTGGCCGGGAGGGATTTCTCCACATCCTTCTTCACCCTCCGCAGAAGGAAAGGCTCCAGGACTTTGTGAAGGCTCTGGTAGCCATTCTCTCTCCCTTTCCCATGATCCTCTTCAAAATCTTCCCAGAATTCAAACCTGGGGGTACAAGTTAGGAGGGGTGGGTTAGTACGCCCCTTACCTAGTCTCTGTGCTGTTTATGCTGACACAATGCCAATCAGCTGAGAGTGCATTACAAACTATTTATTCTGCCCCTGCCTCTGCATGTAAACATGACATTTTCAGTGGTTACACGCTTACAAAAATAAACACATTTTAACACCTCTAGGTTATGTCTACACTCACGGCTTCTTGCGCAAGTAATATGCAAATGAGGCTAAGCGTGGAATATCACCGAGCCTCATTTGCATACCTAATAAGCCATCATTTTTTTCAGAAGAGGCTCTTGCGCAAGAAGGAGCGTCTACACTGCCCCTTCTTGCGCAAGAAAAACCCTCTTGCGCAATGCCGTTACACCTATTACTTTTCAGGAAGAACGGCATTGCGCAAGAGGGTTTTTCTTGCGCAAGAAGAGGCAGTGTAGACGCTCCTTCTTGCGCAAGAGCCTCTTCTGAAAAAAATGGTGGCTCATTAGGTATGCAAATGAGGCTCGGCGATATTCCACGCTTAGCCTCATTTGCATATTACTCGCGCAAGAAGCCGCGAGTGTAGACATAGCCTTAGTGAGCTCTCACAGAAAAATAATAAACAAACAATTTACATGTGGGTGAACACTTTTCACAAAACAATCACTCCTTTCAGTCCTCAGGCTCAAAGAAAACCTGCACAACACTTCCAAAAGATGAACCAAGGATCTTAAATTCATAACTTCTCCCCACCCCTTAGAACTCCCCAGTATTTGTTTTGTCCCAGGGCCCCTCAATGCCAGCCCTCCAGCACTAGCCCCTGCCCTCCTCACTTAGCCTTGCGCTACCTCCCAGTCTCCAGCTGAGCATTGCTGCCCAGGACACGGCTGCTCTAAGGCTGCCATGCCGGGCTCCACGTGGCCTTCCTACCACACAGCAAAGTGCTTTGCTGTGTCCCGGAAGAGATACCGCCGCTGCCCAGTGCAGGTTGGCTGAGAGGCGGGGCAGGACACACCTCTCCCAATAGCCATAGCGGGAGCAGTGTACCCCAGCCCCGGCCCCCAGAGCCGCGGCGGCCTGGCCACGGGCTGCAGACCGGAGGTTGGACACTGCTGACTTACAGTGTATGCTAATGCCTTATGCTAAACAATCTGTTCCACCTTCCAGCATTTTACTGTGACACTAGAACAGGGATTCCCAACCTTTTTCGGTCCCTGTACCCCCTTGGTTTTTAGTAAACTTTCCGTACCCCCTATTCAATATGAAAGGAAATAAATTCTAGACTCTAGAATCCACAACTTTTTTCACTACTACTTTTGGAATATTTCAATTAGGATAATCTAGTTATTTACCAAATATTCCCAGTACCCCCTTAACAAGCTTCTCGTACGCCCTGGGGGTACACGTACCCCAGGCTGGGAACCCCTGCACTAGAAGTTCCTTTGTCAGCCTTGAAGAGCTCTGCATAGCTCAAAAGATATTGGTCAAATAAACGATAATTATCTCACTCCCCTTGAGTGTCTAAGCATGGGTGGGGAACCTCGCCCCAGAGGCCACCTAGGTCCAACCCCCCCCAAGGCTCAGGGCCCCACCCCCAGCATTGGGAAGCCTATGCCCCACGCTGCCCCACCATAGGGCTGAAGCACACAAAATCTACTAGGCTGGGCCTCCCAGGCTCTGGTGTGGGAGCGAATATGGGGAGTGTCTTTCTCCTTCTCAGTCTACAGCCACGTCAGTGAGTGTTTTGATTTGTCTGTGGGACAATGGCCCCCAACCCATAAAAAGTTCCCCACCCCTTGTCTAAGTCATCTGCTGTCAACACCTTGTATGTCCTTAATACTTTACACCCCAGAGATTCCAAACCGTACACCCCAAATGAGTTGTAAACACTTTGGGGTATAATGAGTCAGCAGTTTAAGGGCCTGATCCAAAACCATCTGAATTAAATGGTAATCTAAACTGCGCACAGCAACACCATGAAATAATTATCCAATTGAAATTATTTAGCTATCACACGCTTCAGAGGCATAGATGAGTTCGTCTGTACAGGATACACTTAAAAAACCAACAAAAACAGCAGTTTAAAGACTAACAAAACATGTAGATCGTATCATGAGTTTTTGTGGGCACACCCACTTGTTCAGATGACCGGAGTGTTGGATGTACAGAACCAAAAATAAATAGGGAAAGGGAGGGGGGGTTGGCAGAGGAAAAAAATGGGATGGGAAGGGAGGGGGGGGAGAGAGAGAGGCAGTGGGTATATAAATATCAAAAGGAAAGCCGAGCAGTATGTACCAGGCAAAACTGATAGTCTATAAGCACCTAAAGACTGGATAGTTAAAAGAAGCAGATAAGAACCATTAGTTAGCAATTAGAGAGGAAGAGTACTAACACCAGATTCTACAGAGACAAAAAACCATTGGCACCATTCGCTATCACAGTAATTCAGAGCATGGTCCTTACTCCAGCAGGTTACAATCTCTGTAGCAGGCACACTACATAGTCAAAGGATCTCCAGTCCTCAAATCAGTGAAAGCCAATGAGATTTAGGATTCGAAGATCCCAAGTCACTTTTGAAAATTGAACAACAGCATTTTAAAATGCTTTTACACCTTGTCAATTGTGGCTCTGTATTGATCCTTCTCACCTAAAATCACAGACTATCCGAAGGCCCCTTATTTTGTCCTTGGTCAATGCTCTCGTGGCAGCAGTTTTTGCATATTCCGTAGAACCTTCCAACTAGATTTTGTTTCACAGTTTTAAAATTTGCCTTTTTTCCCCCCCCTCTCATTCATTGGCCTCCTCTTTTCAATGCGAGCCTTGGAAATAATTTGAATGGTTGCTTAAAAAGGTGTTTGGCTCTTTGGATGTGGCACTCCCAGGGACAGAAATGGAGGAAGTATATTACCTTACCCAGCCCGCCTGCTGCCAACACAGTTTAGCTCTTGGCACCATTCATTTACCTTTTAGTACTTGCTACTTTCCTGTTTCATTGTGTTTCTCCCTTTGTAGTAAGATGAGGGTCTGAAACAAAAGCCCATGCGGCACAGGCCTGGTTGGAGGCCTGAGGCCTCACTTACAATGGGCAAAACTTGGCTAATATAAAGCAAAATTAAGCTGTGAGCAAGAGGCAGGCCCCTGCTCACAGAACTTGGCATGATCAGGGCTGCGAGTGTAAAACACTCATTGGAAATTGGTCCAGGTATAGAACAGTAACTGGTTTGGTCCAGGTATAGAACAGTAATTGGTACTAGGTACCTACTGTAGAACAGTAATTGGCATTGGTCATGTTAAAAGCGCATTCCAAAAGGATGGTACCACCATCTCATTAAAAAAGACCTTGGTACCCACGTTGCCCACAGATACCAACCCAGATTCAGGACAGAGTCTAAACTGACAGCATGATGAATAGAGATGTTCTAATGAAGCCACGAGGTGCAGGGTGATGGGTGGTACCTAAGTTGCGTGAGAGGATGGGTAACCTGACATGTCAGGAGTGATGTGTAACTTGTTTGTATCTGTATATGAAGTGGTGTCATGGGGGGGGGGGACATTGTCCAGCCGAGACGTGGCAGTGGGATTGCCCACTGATCGAGCTAGTCCATTGCTACGAGTACATATGCGTAGTGGTTAGGTAGGGTCTAATGACCACTATTACTGTACTTTTTTTAACAATCAACCTGGCCAGGCACCTTTGATCCTTATCTGCTTTGTGGGCTCTCTCAGGGTCTGTTGGGTTGACTAATTGCACAAGTCAACAGGGCACACTTCATTGAGCATACATGCATGCTGCCTTTTGGTTGACGGAGCAGGAGACCTGTCAGGACACCACGACAGTAAATCCTGACCTCCTACATCCCTCAGTGACTCTAACCAACTCAGTTTCACTCACTTCTTCCTGTACTTTCCCAAACTGAGCCATTTCGTACACCGTGTCTAGTTAAGAGAGGCACACTTGACAAGACACACGCCCTGGTATCTTTTGAGGTACACAGAGTACACAGTAAGGAGGCTTACTTCTCTGGCATGATAAAGTGCAGCAGTGACCAGAGCTCTTTGAGAGAATTCTGAAGTGGGGTCCCAGTGATCAGTAGTCTGTGGTTGGACTTGAAATCAGTCAGCGTTTTATACAGCAAAGAGTCATCATTCTTCAACCTATGGGCTTCGTCCACACCCAAAAAGGCCCAATTAATGCTGCCCAGAACAGTCTGGAGTAAAAAACAAAACCAAAGGAGACACCAGATCAGACCGGCTCTGCAAGTATTTTACATCAATTTCTCTGTGGGCCTAAAGGCAGCTGTGTAGTGTTGCAATAACCAAATTCCATTCTGCTCTATTTAGATTCTATTTAGATACCACCCCCATCACTGTGGTTCCTGAGCACCTTTTGTTTTCAGTGAGCTTGACCAAGACGTGTTTCCTTTGGTGACATGCCTGCGGGATATACCTCATCAATTCTTGTTCCTCTCACAGGTGAGCAAAATGTTTCAAAGTTAACATGTTACCAAATGCCCGCAAAGTATTAAGGGATTTTCAGCAAATAGATGGATTTTAAATCAACTATTCTTCTTTTTAAATTCCAAAAGCACAGCCCTTCCTCCTATCCCACATTCCTTTAATCCCTTCTGCCCTCCCCGCCCCCCGCAAATGACTGCAGAGTCCCTGCTGTGCTCACAAGCTCCAGCATGCACAGTGCAGGAGCAGCATTAACACCACAGTAGCTAATCTGTCTATGGGGCTAAAGCAATAAGACCTCATAGTCAGCCATTCAGTATCTGTTCCTCCAATTTTCTGCTCTCACACAGGATTCAGTGACTCACAGAAAGGGCTGCCTGGCACACTCCAGGCAACTTTCTCTTTTTGAAACTGTAAAATCCAGCTCTCTCCTGGGAGGGTGCACTATTCTTGATCAGTGTTCCTTGTAAGCTGTGTGCTCGTGCAGCCGCTCAGGAGAGATTCAGAGGCCACCCAGCTGATTAACAGAGCATCCACGGGTACACTTTGTTTCTACTGGTGGTGCACATTCACACATGCCTCAGTGCACATAAAAAACTTATTCTGCACATGGAAGGAAAAAATCTGCACAAGGATGAAAGAAATTAGAAGGAACATTGTTCCTGACCCTTTCGTCATAATTCCAACACTCTACCTCTCTTCCACACATCAAACAGCTGTGGGCTGCAAGGGAATGCAGAGTTTTGTTCATCTGACTGGGTATGTTAATAGCCCAAATTAAGACGTGCAGCTAGCCTAGCTGCCACAGTGAGAGGTGCCTTATAAATATGTGTAATCATGAACAACACTACTACTGTGCTATATTTATAGCAAACTCTTTTCTTCTGTAAGCCCACCAAATAATGGTGGGTTGCATTTATGTGTTCTCAATCACAAGAGGAGTGGCGGGTGGGTGAAACAGGTTTGGATCATCATCAGATGGTCTACACACCGTGCAAGACACACTGGTTTGGAGGGAGGCATCCCCATTCACGCAGAACCAAGGTCATTTACGTGAAATACCCCTTGCCCACTACGCACCTTGTCTTTGAGGAGGATCTCATATGTTGTAATAAGTGCATTGAACTTCAGCCTTTTCGTCTGAGAATGGATCCACTCATATTCACGGATCTGGGAGGGGAGATAACAGTTCAGATGCAAACTTCAACCTACACTGTTAAAGGAGCATTTCTCCATTATTATTATCAAGAACATGGCCCCAGACAGTCTCCCCTGAAGAGTCCATAATTTACAGAGGGGCGAGACAAAGAATGAGTGAGAGGAAAGATTATCATCCTCATTTCACAGGATCACGTCATTTACCCCATCTCACAGAGGCAGTCTGTGGCACAGCCAGTCATTTAAACTAGACTGTTTTAGCCATTTAATCTTCCCATCATCTGAATTCTCTTGATATTCACTGTCTCATTATTAGTTGTAATAATGACTTCATAATAGTCATAATAATGACCTGAGGCTTCCTCTATTGCCCAGTGAAGTCCTACCTGTCTGTGCCTTCATTACTAAACAAAATACTCACTGTACACATATTTAAGTGACAGGGAAGGCTGAGGCCTCTAATCTACTAAACTTGGCTAAATCGCACAGTTATACTAGCTGTAATGTCACAACCCAGAGTTTGCTTCTCTATACATTATGTACAATCTATGGACAGAGATGTTCTCCCCTCTGCCATCCACCCTGCCTTCTGTTTACACACCGTGTTTCTGCTCATCATGTCCCCGATGTAAACGACCACATTAATCTCTGGTGCCCAGATTTCAAACTCTCTCTGCCACGAAGTCAGAGTAGACAAGGGCACCACTATCAGAAAGGGGCCGTACAGCTGATGTTGATAGAAGAGATAGGAGAGGAATGATATTGTCTGGATAGTCTTCCCCAAGCCCATTTCATCAGCCAAGATCACGCTGTTGTTCCTATAAGGTGGAGAAAAAAAAAAAAAGAGATGCAATAAATACCATGCTGTATCAATTTACTAAGTGCCAACATGTAATGATAGAGAATGAAAGATATGCCTTGTGAAAGGTCACTGAAATACTACAGCAAATTGCTTCTGAGTGACAGGGTCAACGTTTGGACTGTATTTGCCCCCAAATTGGCAAGGAAATGCAAAGCCAAAAGAAAAGTGCCAGTGGCCAGATTTAGAAGAGTGTTTTTCAAACTGTGGGGCTCTCCTACAGGAGACGGTTCAGGCAAGCTGAGCGAAAGAGACATTTATCCTTTGACTATCAGGACAACAGGGTTTGCCAGATTGGAACAGGCCACTGGACCAAACACCGTATTCTATCTCCACAGCACTGAGCCAGAGAAATGTAACTGCCCGTGCACACAATACACCAGCCCACACAGGGCTTTTCTTTTCACTGTCTCTTAAGCTCGTATTTTATGATGGTCCCCATTTGCCAATCCTGAAGTGCCAAAGGAACAGCAATGCAGTTTAATGAATAAATATGCTGCTTCAAGTGCATATGTTCACACTGAATCACAGAAAGCAATGGGGTTCCCTCCCTCCCACGTTTCCA